TCTGTCCCCAGGCCTTTCAGCTCCACAAGCTTACCAGAAAATCTGCAGAGTATAGTATTACCTACAGACAGAGCACCTAGAGCCACTGCACATACCTAATCCTGAGACCAGATTAGATACCTCCAGTTGTGCTGAGACAGCTGGCTGATGACCTCATCAGGTTGTTATTACCTTCAAAAGGTCAAGTCAGTCAAAGGAGTTCTGATAACTAGAACACACAAACATCACACCCATCTTGAAGAATAGTAAGAAGGGAGGTCTGGAAAACTACAAACTGTTGGGGTACACCTTTGTTCCTGGGAGGTTTATGGAGCAAATGTATTGTTATGGAGCAAATTTATGGAAGCCATTTCCAAGCATATGAAGGAGAAGAGAGAGATTGGGAACAACCAATATGGATTTACCAAATCACAGTAGAGCAACCAGTTTGCCAGATCTGTGGATAAGGGGACAGCAATGGATGTTGTACACCTTGACTAAAAGCAAGGCTTTTGAGATGGTCCGTCATAGTATCCCATAGTTAAACCGGTGACCATGAACTGCACTCTCAGCATATTAGCAGATGTTGCTGAATCAGGGAAATGACTATGCTATAGGGCGAGGCTGCTATTTAGAGGCACCTTCACAGGATGGAGATAAGCTGAAAAGAACATCATGAAGTTCAAATCAGCAAAGTCCTGCATCTGGATTGGAATTGCCCTGTGCAGCTGCACTGAGTGGCCAGAAAGCATCTTTGGAGAAAAGGTCTGGAGGGTACTGGTGGCCAAGTTGAGTATGGGTCAGCAATGCCTCTGCAGTAAGTCAGACAGCCATACCCTGGGCTGTAGTAGCAAGAATGCAAGGGAAGTGATTATGGCCCTCCATTCAGCACTGCTGGGACCACATCTGGAGTCCTGTGTCCAGTTGTGGTCTCTCCCAAATGAGAAAGAACCTGCCACACTGGAGTGAGCCCAGTGCAGTCCCATCAAGCCAGTCGAGTAGCCCATTGTATATAAGGAGAGGAACTCAGTGTGCACAACTCTGAGAAGAGCAGGCTGGGGAGAGACCTTATTCTTTGCTTCAACTACTTAAAGGGAGGGCGCAGGGAAGAAAACTCCTCTTGGAGGTGCACAGTGGAAGGATCAGAGGCAATGGACAGATGTTTGAACGTCACCAATTCAATTAGGTATAAGAAAAAGGGTGAGAGTTTTTTGCTTTTGTTTGTTTTAAACCACGAAGGTAGTCAAATACCAGGTCAGGTTGCCCAAACGACTGCCAGAACTGGTTTCCAGCACAAACTATTCTATCATCAAGTCTACAAGTAGAGCAGACAGAGAGTAGAGTTCTGAGCACAGTACTACTGCGCTAGCACAGTAAAGTGTCACATTAACATGCCAATGAATGACCCCAAACAATATTAATCTCACTCATATAGAGGGGCATCAAAATTATGCAACTGAGCTTCTCAGTGATCCTCAAAGGCTATTCATTTGGACTAGAATGCTGGGATAATTATTATCATAATCAATACAAGATTCACTCAGCTGAGTGCAAAAAGGGTTTAAATAGCATTTCCTTTGTTAATTTTTTGACATGAGACATAAGGCTTATTTATCCATGCCTTGGTTTTCTCTGTTAATGCAAGACAGGAACACTGAAATTATCTATATCGGGGTGTGGGGGCATTTTATTTTAAAATCTTCTGGATGTGCTTCATAGGTAGAAAAATATATAAAATATAGGAATTCAAACAACAAGCAGTAGATCTCATCGAGACGTGCAGGAATTTGTCTCATGGAGCTAAGACCAATTCTTAGCATCTTCCAGTTGCACTTATAATTAACAAAAGTACATACTTCCTTACTGATTACTATATGGGACTATTACAGATTTTTACCTGAATTTCAGCATAAATGATTCATATGAACTAAGCAGAGCATGCCAGATTGATCTGTGGTGCTAAGAACAGCTTTCAAGCTGATTTATCTCTGAACAGGGAAAAGAGAATTTTCACTGCAGTCCTTGCAATGCAGTAAACAAAACTTAGAGGGGAAAAAAAAGGACACTCATTTCTTTCAATTGAAAATTTCTGAAATTAAAAGTCAAAAATTTTGCTTTCAACACTTGCAAAAGAAAGTTAATCAGTTAGTCTAAATCATGGCTCAGACAGACAAGTGTTTAAACACCTGCAATACTTACATGAAGGCCCTTTAAGCCAACAAAGAGACTCCAAGATTCACAAATAAAACTGCTTTCCAAAACAAGTATCTATTCTCATTCTTCCACAGCAGTATGTATGGTGTCTTACCTAGATCCACTAAAGTAAGTACATTCGGAGCTTGAGATGCAAACTTTGTGTCTTGAGACACAAAAGACAAAAGCTAAAGCAAAGATTTCAGGTGAAAATGAAAGAGTTGTTCATGTTAGAGTGAACAAAATGAAAGGTATGGAGACAGACACAAAATCCTCATTCCTGTTCTGTAGTTTAGAGTTAATTTGACTCATTACGAGCATTCCAAATGTATCAAGATATTTCAGTTCTCAACAGTAGAACATTTATTATTATTTCATGTGTGTTTGGTCATTATACTCGGTAAATTAATCTACTAGGAGCACCACCACAGAAGGCAGCATCTACCAAATCTAGTCTCATCTGAAATTCATTTTGGACAATTGATGTCTCTGAGTAGCATTTACTGGGGCTGGTGACTGATGCAATGAGTTATTAATGCCTGCCTGGCCTTACCAGCACTGCCAGCTCCAGCACAAGCATTCAGGAAAGGGCTGTTTTTGTCTCTAACACTGCTATTCCACAAGCACCTCAAGGCAGTATAAAACTCCTCTGAGAAAGACTGATGGGCTCCCCATGCCACAGCCATTCCTCCCTTCACTGGGTACAACCATCCCGAGAAGCTACTGAGTGATCTGGTCTGAGTTCGAAACAAACCAAGCCTTAAGGAGGAAGAGGCTTCAGTTTTAATGACTTTCTTGTTCCAGATCATTATGTGGGCGCACAAGCACTCTCACTGGCTTACAGGGGAGGGGGCAGATAGGAGTGCCTTTTGGCTGCAGTGCCATGTGTTTGGTGGATAACAGCAGAAACTTGCCTAGTTACAGACCTAGTTGCGTCTGAGGGTGCACTTGGACACAAGCCTTCTGGCTGGCCTGTGCTCTGTTGGGTGGATGACTGTCATTGCGAGGTTAAATTCTCTAGTTTTGTCAAATCACTCTAGGCAATGAATCCAAACTGGACATACAAAAGGACATAAACATCAGGAGGGCTTGAGAAAGACAGAAACAGAGACCACAGATGAGTAAAACCAAAACCAAACCCTTCTGTGGCTTTTTTTTGGGGAGATAAATGGACTTAATAAATGAACCAATGAAGCTGTGTGTCTTGTGATTAAATAAATGTCTGTTTCAGTGCAACACAGTGCTGTAACCAGCTCCTGTTCATGTGTATTCCTGACAAATATCTCCTCTAGAAAACAGAAATAATTCACGATATGACCCATGACATTAATGCTGCTGAAAAATGTAGCAAATTCTGCTCAATCACCAAGAGCAGATATTCAGGGGGAAAAAAAAATCCAAAAAAATGCTAATTTAGTAAACGAGTTCATCACTCTTTCCCATTTTATGTTTTATTTTTGCTATTCCAAGTAAAAGTCAGTAGCTGACCTCCATTCCAGTACCTCAGGGAAGTAGACTCTTTACAATATCCCTGTTTTCAGTTGTAAATGTTAACCTGATCAACATCATAATGCCATTTACTAGGAGTTTACACAATAGCCTCAGCTTGAGTAAAACACCTAAAAAATTAGCAAGTCAATTTAAAGGGAAAAACAACTCCCCATTAAATCCTATTCAGACCTGCAACTTCTCTCCAGGCCAAAACATACATACAAGTTCTCCGGGCAGGCTCCCTCTTTGTAATGTTAACAGAACAATTTAAAAGAACTGGATACTTAAAAAAGGACATGGAATTTAAATATTGTGGCAGAGGGGGATGGGGCTCATTTTGTGTCTTTTGAAGCATCTTCAGTTTATGGCTGCACGGCTGTAAATAAGAAACAGGAATACTGCCTGCTTCACTGGCAATACTGTGACAAATTCATAGTGTGAAAGCCTTCTCCCAAGTCACAGACTGCAGAATCTGAAGAAATGCCACACGGTGCTCTGCAGTATATGGTATTCATTACATTTTTTGTTTCAGTACTGTGTGTAATGGCTATCTCAGAGGACTTCAAGACCTTTCATATTTAAGACCCATATCTAGTCTTCTTCATCTAAAAGTAGAAGGCATCATAAAAGTATGTTAATCCTTTAAATTATTTGCAGGATATATCCTATTAGATTCAAGAGAAGATGTTTTTAATCCTGCTGCTGTCATTAAACCTAACTTTACTTCTATATATTTGTGTATCTATGTGAACACAGTAATGTAGAAAGCAGAACTGCAGTGTTTGTAGCATACACTCAAAATGGTAGCTTTTCCTTATATTATTTGTGGCAATATTCTTCTAAAGAAGCAAGGGGAAGCTTGCTTTAGAAGTTTATTTTTATGCTGGGCTCCCACTGTCTGTGTTTCTTCACTATTATTGTGCTGCAATTAATTCCCACCACCAAATGAGCGATGACATCTGGGAAAGTTGTAGAATCAAACACAGAAGAGTAGAAGCACAGTTTCAAAACTGTAAGCTCTGTATCATCATGTAGCAGATGAAAATAAGCTTATTTTTACACCAGACAGAATATCAGGAATCACAAACTAATCCTCAACAAACCTTAAACCTGCTGATGTGAGCAAAGAAATTTTAGTAAGATTCACAAGAACCCCGTGCTCAAAAAGGTGACACAGTTTCTTCCCTTAGTCAGAAATGAAAATTGAAAATATGTTATCACATAATAAAGAATTTTTTAAAAAGTAAAATTGTGAACACCTATGAGAGTTTGTGAGAACAATGAAATTATAAATTGATTTGGAAGATAGGCTTTTTTATCATTTTTTAAAAACATACCTTGTAGAGACCAAAGAAACCTAAGTCCCTTAATACACTGAGGGCACTAACTCGTGGACCAGTAGTAATTTCTCCAGCCACCTGCAATCGAATCTTGACAATTTCCAGTGGATTGGTAAAGATCACTTGAGAACCTCCAGCCTGAAATTAAAAGCAGAAATCAATGCATTAACCTGCAACATCGTTTGTAGTGTATGTCCCGTTACAGTCAAAATAGGACATTTTCATTTCTGCTGCAGTCCGTTAAGCTATTAGCAGACAAGAGTTTTAGTATTAGTTAATGCACCCAAGCTATGAAACCTACTCCCCCACAAGCTGAGTGGTCAGGAAAAAGAGAGAGGAAGAAGGTCAGCCACTGCAGGAGACTGCAGTACACCAGACTGACATTAGCTCAATTCTTGTGACAATAATACATTCACCAACACCAAGTTATGCAATACTGACAAGCCAAGAACACTGTAACACAAGTAATGAAGTGAAAGGAAAAATTTGTAACTAATAAAGAAACTGTGATGTGCATGCCAGTCTATAGAAAGTGAAGACATACTATTGAAGAGTAGAAATCTGGCAGAAACTTTTCAATTTTGACAAAGAACACACGGTCCAAAGACAAGAACTTTTTAAAAAACCCTCTGAACTACCAGTTCAATGCCATTAAATGCTGTTTGATTCAAGAGTCTGAGCTCTGCATCATTATTTATGCACCAGGTATTAAAGAAAAGAAGGTCCACAGACTGAAGGATTTTATTAATCAAGAACTGCTAAATGTTTTTAATGTGTCAGTCTCCGCTTGTTGGGATCAATTTTGAAAGTCAGTTTTAAAACAACAGTGGCAAGCATTTTGAACTCCCCACTAGCTCTTGTAAAGTTTGTCTCATTCATAATATGTCACATAGGGCACAACCTTTCTGCTACACTGACAGATCCAGAGCTAAAAATTTGCAACAAGAAAAAAGGTAACGTGAAGGTTACCTAAGTGTATTCAAAAATAGTCATTCAAACTCCATCTGGCTCAAATTCAACAGTGTCATTCTAACTTCTGCTAAGTTCATAAGTCTGTGGCCCGACAGCTATGCTCTTCTTAATGTTCTGAAATCACATGAACTCACCCTCCCCACCATAAAACAAGTGTTCTGTTCTAGAAGGTAATGACTAAAATGAAATAAGATGCATTTAAAAACACTTGCATCTGGCCAGGTCTAGTATGTAAACACCATGTGCATATCTTTTTTTAAGTTATCCAAATGTTAAAAGAATTAATTGTAGCTCAGATTAACTATCATTCAAAATAAAAAATAAATGCAATAATATGGTTTAAATGATGTGCTGAAGAAATGGCAAATCACACGAACAACTACTCTCGTCTACCACTTAGACTGAGCATGCACAGTGTGGTTACAAATTAAAGTCTTTACATAACCCCCAAAATATCCCAAATGTTTCCTATTTTGACCAGAAAAAGCATGCTCTTGTGTAACTCAACTGGTTTTGACTTTCAAATTGGCATAATTTAATTTAAATGCTTTTTACCAAACCAGAATCCTGGTACATTTAAAACTGCTATTCTTGTTGCCATCAGAAATTAGACTGATAAATTATATGGCACATATGCTGCCTTCAGTTTTGCACTTAAACTGAAACATATTAAATAAGTAAGTATTCAAAACACAAAATTGTTTCTTTTACTTGTCTACTCATCTTGCAAATTCTCAAAATAAATAAAAAGAATCCTGGAAAGGTTCTCTGGTGAATTACATATTCCTATGTAATAAATATTTTGGTGTAGGTATTACAAATATTAAGCATTCCCACATGCCAACATACTCATTTTCTTCTTAAAAAGGATAAAATCTCAACTGCAGGAGATAATGTTCATTTGCAAGTTTGTTACATCACAGCCATCCTCTAAAAGCACACTACTGAAAAAGTCATATCAATTGATCTATTAGCACAATAAAACTACTTTCCCTCAGTATGATACTCTTGCAGTTCATTGCGCCATGACTCCATGAGAACTGTTCCTTTAATTTTCACTATGGGAAAACCATATTAAAATTTAAAAGATTACAAGAAAATTAAGTAGCAGTAGTATTATTAATGCACCAAAATATGGAACAATTTTAAAATCTATAAAAATGTTTATAAGTGAATGCCATATTTAAAAAAAGAAAATAGAAACATAGTTCTGATTTTAAAAGAGAATAAAGGCAAATAAATTCTGAATACAAACAAACGGGAATTACTTCAGGTGCTAGCACATATAAATGTTTATGTTTGCATGTCCAACCTGGCTGTGTTGGCACTTCCAGCATTAGATGTTTGCTGCTCTGGCTAAATCATACAAGACTTCTTCTGCTTCAGCCTGCTATATAAAAACGGGGATGTCATTATTTACCCACCTCATACAATCAAGCTCTCAGCATTCAAATTTTTAAAAACACTGAGACATGCATGCACCAGGCAGTACTAAAAAGATTAACAATTTTGCTGTCCTCACAGCAAGTGTGAAGAAAGACACTGGTCATTTCCACTGAAGTCTCCAAAATGTCCAGGTACTAGCCCAGAACTCCCTGAACAATCTCTGAGTTTGATCAAAGATATACTCCAAAAATCAAATGGTGAATAACTGAATGTGGTGAGCCAGACAATACCTGACAGAGGGTCTCAACAGGAGGGTTTCTACCACCTGCCTGCCTTGTGATGGAGAGGAAGCCTGGTTTATCAGCCTGTGCAGAGGCAGTTCCAGCGGTAACAAGTACAGTCGCCTGGTGGGGAGCTTTGATCATTCTGTTATTTAAGCATCTGTGCTGGTAACTGCAGCTCCTCACTCTCAAAATGGGGGGGGGAAGCAAACCGGAGATGGCTACTATACTCTCTAATGAAATGATTTCTTGCTTATCTAGTACTGGTAACTCCTATTGTGCTATTCATCATCATAGTATGCAAGTGTCTCATAAATATTAATGTATTTCCTCCCAGTGCTCCTGTAAGGAAAGTACAATGACTCTGGTTTTACAAGAAGGGATTTTGAGGCAGAGAGGTTAATTGTATGCCCAGTGTGCATCCCCCCAGCTCAAACACACACAGCCTGTAAGAGTCTCCAGATATCCTGATCTCAAAGTCAGTGGTTGAATCAAAATAACATGGTTTCTGTCTTCTTTCTGAGTTTTTGCATAGTGAATGCAATGAAAGAAATCTCATCAATCTATTTGTTTGCAGTCTGTTCAAGGTGCTGGTATAAACTGGTGTGGAAAAAACAGACAAAACATCAGCAGCACATTGTATCACCCTGTTCGTTTGGCCAAAAGTTGAAGACTATGGCCTTTTTGTTTGCTAACTTTTGCAGTTAAAAGTGTATTTCATTATAAAATTTTGAAATATGCTCCCAAAGGGCAGAATTTGATTTTTTTTTTTTGTCCAGATTAAGCACCATTTAAGCTCAGGTTGCTCAAGCTTAATGATTTCTCCAGTAAGTGTCAGAAAAATCAACTTCATCAACTGTTTAATATAGACAATTCCCAGTGACATCAATTTTTCTGTACTGAAGTTATAAACTTGAATACCCTTGACTCGACCCTTCCAATAATTTTTTAAAGAAACAAATTATCTGACTGTAAAAGCAAATCTATTACTTTTCAGTTATTATCATAAAACAATTTTTAATTACTTAGAGGAGTAGATACCTAGAGGTACTGCATAGACAATTAACTGTAAGGGCCTCCAAAGGGTCCATATTATTCTGAAAGAATTTAATATTTGACCTAATCGCAAGTAATTATGGTCTTGTTTGATTTAAAGTAAGAAAATAAAATATCTTTCTCATCCAAGAACTCCTCATACCCACATAACTAGAAATCTGCATGTCCTTAAATGTGCTTTAACACACAGTCAGCTAGCTATGCATTCACACACATGTGAATTTTTAAAAATAAGCTGGCTTTTTTTTTTTTCATTTTTGCAGTTCTTTAACTCTGCTATTCGTATGATATCATCCAACACCTCTCAATGGCAGTATAGTCTTGTACAGTAATACAGCACTATCATGTCTCCTTCTACTTCCCTGCTTCACTGAACAGAACGGAGAAGTAGAAATAGCTGAAGGTTGGTTGGGGTTTTTGTCCATGGAGAAATAAAACCCACTATGTAGTGATAAAAAAAAAGTTTAATAACAACACCTAAAAATACTCCAGTTCGAGAAGTCAGAATGTTTTCTACTTCTTCATGTGTTCAAATCACTCTGCAATAAACTTACTGGAAAATAAACAGATTTTCACTCCCCTCCTTACACTAAGAGAAGAAATTCCTGTTCTTTTTAATGTAACTGCATTTTGTGCCCTTATGAGGTTAGATAAGAAATGAGCACACCAGACACAACTCTCCTCGGGCTTTCACATCTCCATTTGAAAGCTTCAGTGTACCTTCTGAAGAGAATACAGCTTGCAATTCAGGATGGAAATTCTCTGTTTTCCATTCCAGAAGAAAGTACTAGATTCTTTTCCTTTCAGTGCTACTGACCACCTAATGTTCTTGTTCCTCTAATTAAGCTTATTACCTACTTCAAATCATAGGTCCTTTCCTGCTCTCAGCTAACAGCCTTTAGGGTCAGCCTGGATCTTTCCTCTGCATCCCATCCGACTTACATATCCCCTCTTATGGTTTCACAGATGAAGAAAGGACTAGTACTGCTATTAGAGTGTTAATATTTCTCAACAATATCACCCAGGGATTGCAATTATGGCAATTAAAGGCAACCATTAAAATACATTACTAACATATTATGCAATTATAAAAAATCAACCTCTGCAAAAGAAACTGTCTACAATGTCTTGTTACTTGTTTAATTCACAAAAAGACAAGCAGGTGCAAGTTCCAAAATTTTTAGTCAACTATTTATCACATTAAGTCCTACTGAACATTGTACTCTGTCCCAAGTCCTTACTCCTTGCCAGTTGCCAGATGCAGTTTGTTTTCCTGTGCACTTCCTATCATCCATTAATCTTCTTTAAAATCAAGATTCCTTGATTTTAAAGACACAAAGTAAAGATTGTTCTCTGTCATAAAAAAAAAATGTACTCAAGAGTTGCAAGAATGGAAGAACTGCCATCCTCACTGCATAATAAAAGGGAGCTAAGGCACAGAAC